GATTCAGGTTGGGGGGGACAAAAGAAGAAAACCAAACTCCCTGCCACTCCTGAAGGAATCATTTCTAGGGGACTGATGAAGAGAATTCCTCCATCCATTTGATAAGCCACAGGTTACTGAGGCTGCCTTTGGAGCTTTTGATTATGTGTCATAGATAGGTAGTTAGATAGAGATAGATAGACATACGTATATGTATATATGCATGTGTGTATGTGTGTGTATTAAAAACATATGTATGGATGCCCTGAGTATGCCTCTTGGCCATCCTGGAGGAAGAGTTACACCCATGTAGGCTGCTGCCAAATTAATTATTTGCCTCCCCTCCCCTTCACTATGGAATAGAATATCGTAGGAAGAGCCAATCCTTTGCATTGATATAAAGAGGAATGAACAGATCTCTGGGGAGCCATTTTCCCATCTTCCTTTCTTCTAGGCAGATGCTAGGACAGCAGAGATGAGAAAACCTAGCCAAGGGTTGCCTGGTGGCTGACTTGGCCCAAAAGCTTATTAAGGAGTTGAGGGGGGCTAATGCTGGGCCATGCACACCATACAGAGAGTTAGTTTCTCAATGTTTAGGCTCTGTCCTCAGTCTTGAGGAGGCCATGGGATAATCTGTTAGTGATATAGCAACTGTGAAGAAAGGAACCATATGGCAATTGGTGAGAGCTTCCAAGGGATGCCTTTCTATCTGCTCTAAGTTTGAGAGGACCTTGAGCTTCCTAAGCAGAGAAAGGGAGTTTCTAGGGCAGTCAATCCTAGATTATAGCATAGGAACCAAAGAAGGGAGATTCCTTGGACAGTTATCATCTTCAGGGGTTCCCTCATAATTAACTCCAAATTTAAAACTTCTGGGATCCAGTTGAGAAAGGGAAATTTTGGAGGGCAACAGTCCTGTCAGAGAGAAAAAAGGCATCATGAGTGAAGCTTTATATTTTGGAAGGAGGTGCTGCAAGGACCTAAAGATGAGCAAGTATCCTGAATTCCATACCTTATTGTTGTTTTTTCAAATGTGGGAAAAAGGATACCTCTCTGGCATTCACAAGAGGGTTTCCTTTCCAGGGGAGTCCAAACCATAGGATAGTGCTTTGCATTTGGGAAACTGACTATATCCCTACCAGTCTTGAAGTCAAGAAGCCCCTAGGCTCAAGTCCTGTCTTTGACACATAGTAGCTCTGAGACCATGGGCAGGTCATAGTAACTTCTGAGTCCCTGGCAACTTTCTAAGATGATAAATGAGACACTTGCCCATCTGCATCTGTTTGGGGAGTTTTCATAACCTGATAAAACCAAAGATCCCTACCCTGATGAAATCAAAAGTCCAGATTAGAATGCAAAAATAAGTTAATAAATAATTGACTGAATGAAAAAATGAGATATTTTAAATTAGCAAATTTGTTTCTATTAACTAATCCCATCCCTCACTTCTCTCTCTCCTGTGTGTGTGTGTGTGTGTGTCTGTCTGTCTGTCTGTCTGTCTGTCTGTCTCTCTCTCTCTCTGTATATATACACACATGTATATACAATATGTGTATGTATTTGGGCATGTGCGTGTATGCACATAAATACACATAAATGTTTTATGTTATAGGGATTCCTAGATGGCCACTGTTACCATCAAATTCTGTGGAAAAAAAAATATATATATACGTGTGTGTGTGTATACATATATATATATATGTTTATATATCCTCAAATACTTATTTGGGATGTAATTTATATTAATATGTATTTTATATGTCCCCAAAATACAGAGGTTTTATTTTTAAGAAAATGAAGATATTTGCAAGTTTCTTTTTAAAATAAATTCAATATTGTTTTCCATATGCAATTGAGATTCAAGCATCAAGAAGGAAGAGTATGGGAAAAAAATTAAGATAGATTTTTTTTAAGTCTGAAGATCTAATTGTAAAGGCTATAGACACCTAATAGGTAGATAATGATATAATGAATAATGTTTCGAAATAACATAGAGTGTGTTGTTCATCATTTTTTAACTGTAGTGGCATAAATATAGTTTGTATAATATTAAAACAAAACATTTACCTTCACCTAAATAAATCAACAGGAAAATGTTTTTTAAAAATACTTTTAGGGGCAGCTAGGTAGTACAGTGGATAGAGCACCGGCCTTGGAGTCAGGAGGACCTGAGTTCAAATCCAGCCTCAGACACATAATACTTACTAGCTGTGTGACCCTGGGCAAGTCACTTAACCCCATTGCCTAGCCCCCCAAAAAATACTTTTATATTAAAAGTTCACTGTTACTGTATGAATGGGAACAAAGAGTCATTTGCTTAGTTGATTTTTTTTTCCTTCAGTCAATTCAATGATTGTCTTAAGATAACAACTCTATAAAAGGGAAAATATCTCTCTTCAATCAAAATGACTGAAACCTTTTGGGATTGTATGGAAAATTCATTTATCTGGTAGGCATGTAATTTATATAAGAAGTAAAATTTCCATATACGTTATTTTCCATGAGTCATATGCCATCCTTATTTCATGATAATATTATAGAGCATTATTATTTTATATGGATTTTTCCATTCTGCCAAAGCCTGTTACATTTTGAAATCCCCTGGTGCAGATGTCTCTGGATGATCATAGGATCATAGATTTTAAAATGGAGAGAGCTCAGTCATTTAGTCTAACACTCTGAGGCCCTCTAAGGTAAAGTGACTTGCCCAAGGTCATAGTGATTAACTCCCTGAGGTAAGATTTGAAACCATGTCATTTGATTCTAAATACAGTATTCTTTTCCACTGCATCATGAGAATGTTGATGTTGACAAACAGCAATAAATACCCCTGATCAGGCTTTCCATTATACATAAGAAATACCGACATTTATTTAGTACTTTAAGGTTTATAAGGTGTTTTACATACATTCTCTCATTTGGGCCCCATCATACATCTGTGAGTACATACCACAGAAATGTGAGATGTGCAAATTTAGAGACATCTCCATCCCAAGTACTCATATGGAGTATTTACGTCTGACTTATGGTGGAGCCTTCTGAGATTGTACTGATCTAATTAGCCACAGTCTAATTAGACTTGATTTAAGTAACTTGACTTCACCATTAGTGATGTCATTTTGGTCCTCTTCGACAAAGGACAACAATCACCAACTTGCTATAGGTGTTATTATCTTGATTTTACAGATAAGGAAACTGAGACTTAGTAAAGTTAAATGATATGGTTACTTGGACACAGCAGCAATTTTTCAGGTATACATTCACACCTCAGAAATGGTCAAATACTACAAATCAGGTCTTAAGTTATTTTGTTAATTGTTTGCACTCAAGAAAGTGATAGGGAAAATGTCAATAACAGATTATGTTTATAAGTATATTGTGGGTAATTTTTTTTCCTGAAGAACTAGTTTTAAAACATTTACCAGCATACTCTTAGCACATAAGCAAGGGTCAGAGTCAGAATTTGAACCCAGGTCTTCCTGACTTCAAGTCCAGCACTCTTTGATTCAGTGTAATTTAACCCATAATACAATTTATCATTGTGAAGAAGAAGAAAAAAATGGCATAGTTTCTGTCCTGGAGGAGGATTTTCTCCACGTCTTTCCTAAACCGTGGCAAAAAAACCTGACAATAATACTACAAATATGGACTCATCAGAGCAGGTCATCCAGATCCTTACATTCCTGGAACTTTTGCTTCTCTTAGAGCATCCCAGGATCAAATGAGCTCTTTTGGTTGCTATGATACCTTGAGTTTATAGTTCACCAAAATTCCAAGATCTTTTTCTCAGATGAATTGCTATCTAACCATTCATTGCCCATGTTGTAATTTTTACAAGTTAAAGACCTTATAAGACTTTACATTTATCCCTACCGAATTTTGTCTTATTAGATTCAGCCTAATGCTTTAGATAGTCAATGTTGTTGATCCTAACTCTGCTATCCAGGGTGTTCATTACTCACCCCTTCCCCTCCACAAGCTTTGTTTCACCTGCAGATTTAATGAATAGTTATCTTTCTCTTTCCCCAGGAATACCCTAGAAATGAGTCAGATCTAGACTTTAAGTGATTCTCCTCAGAGCCCTGGAGTGTGGATGTAATGATCCAGAAAGTTTTAGAAAAAGAACCTCACCATTCTCTTTAGAGGCCAGGCTCCCTGACTTATTGAACCCAGTCTACATGCTTAAATTCACAGCCAGACAACCTTCTAGAAAGAGAGTGTGAACAGTATGTTGTACTACCAAGTAGCCTTCTTGGTATGAAGGCATTCTCCAATCTTATATCCATATAGCCCCTTTTCTCCCTTTAAGTCTGACTACTGCTAACTGCAAATATATTTTAAATGACTTCTCCAAGCATCAGCTAAAATCATGCAATAATACAAAGACAACAGGACAATTCAAAGGGATTTCTTGAGGAACAATAGGCCTTGTGAAAATGTTGGCAAACGTTAGCTATCATAACTGCTTTAACAGGAAACATACCTTCTGGTGGAACGATAGAAATCAATACATCTGTTTGAAAACACTGCTAGTTAAAAAGGAAATTGGCCTATGCTAGAAAGACACAATATAAATCCAACCTCTTACTATTATCATTATCAAACAAAATAGCTTTCATTCGAAAACTGTCTAACAACATAGATGTGGGCCTGAAGTTAAAGGGAAAAAAAATGTTCCTTGCAAAAAATCAGTCATTCAGACTTTTGAGTAAGGGAAGTTTAAGAGGAAGAAAGAGAAAATTTAAACCTCAAGATTTTCTATTGTTCTTTTAAATTGCTTGAACAGTATGGATTCCAAATCAAAATAAGCCAAGTTAATATGACATCTTAAAATAAAGATTTCTCAAGCATATATAAAGCAAAGCTATAAATGAGGTTGACAGATCATTTTCCCTAGAGTGGGAAAAATTGCTTCATTCCTGTTAACTGTGTGAATGCATTAAAAAATAACAACAAAAAACAACAACCCTACAGCTTCTCCAGTGAGGAGAGGTAATAGATCATATGATCTCAAGATACTGTACCTGGAAAATTTAAAGGCAGTTCAAATTTAGGAGAACATTGACCATCTTCATTTTCCTTGCAAGTGTGAGCCATGACCTTCTTTATTTTGAAACTGTTCACTTTAATCACTTCTCCAGTTGATAGAGAGCATTCGTTTCCAAACATTTCATAAATAGAACCTACAGGAGAAGAATAAAGACATTGTAAAGTGTCTCAAGTCCCCACTATCTTCATGAGGAAGATAAGAAGTCAATACCTTGTATATACAGTGTATCCTAAAAGACCTAGTGCAGTTTTCAGGTATCAAAACTTAAAGCTGCATCAAAATTTTTGGGATACCCTGTGTCATCATCATCATCAACATCAGTATTAATTAGTTCCTTTTAGTAATTGATGAAAATAAATTGTAAAAGGTTTGTTGATGCCTTTTGTTTTTTATACCACAGTAATTTCTCCTTGGGGTGGGTAGGTTGTTCAGTGATTAGAGTGATATTCCTTGAGTTCAAATCTGGCCTCAGATATTTACTAGCTGAGTGATCCTGGGCAAGTCATTTAACACTGTTTGCCTCAGTTTCCTTATCTGTTTGAGCTGGAGAAGGAAATGGCAAATATCTTCGTTAAGAAAACCCCAAATGGCATCATGAAGAGTCACACAAGACTGAAAACAACTGAACAAAAATTTCTCCTCATCTTCACCTCCCCACACAATAAACACCTCTAGTAATAAAGGGAAACATTTAAACAGGAAACTTTCCTTCTGGGGGGAAGGATAGAAATTGAAAAAGGATGGTTGAAAAGGAAATTAGCCTAAGCTAGAAAGATTCTGTACATAAATTCAGCCTCTTACTACTATCATTATCAAAACCACTTGATACCATATCCATAGTTTCCCACCTCTCTACTAATAAAAAGGAGGTATGTTTCATTATCAGTTCTTATGGGCCAGAACTATTCACAATTAGTAGATGTCAGCTGATTTCTTGCTATTGCTTACATTATTGTAGTCATTGTATATGTTGCATACAACAACATTGTATATGTCGTTCTCCCGGTTCTCCTTTCTTCACAATTCATCACTCATGCATACTTCTCCTTTCATACATATTGTATCACCTTTCCATTGCTAAAATGAATTTAATGTATTATTATTTAAATAATTTAAATTTAGATATTTTAAATTATTCAAAAATACATTTATCTAAAACCTTGATTGCTTGCCTAGCCTACTTCCCACAGCAGCTGCTTCAAATTTTCTCCCCTTTCCTCAAGCCTACAATAGCACTCTACCCTTCCACTGATGACTTTGCCTGGAACTTCATGGGGAAAAAAAATTGAGACTGTTTGTGGAGAGTTCCTCCTTCTCTCCTTCTTATTTTATATAACTAAGACATCTTCTCCCTATCTCCTCTTTCACTCTGATCTCAGCTAAAAAGGCAGACCTTCTTGCCAAAACTAATACCTTCTGTCTATGTAGTGCTTCCCACAGCCCACTTTTCTCTCTCCTTCTCTCTTATCTTCAATCTCTCCCTATGTACCAACTCTTTCTCAGTTTCCTACATACTCATATCTCCCCCAACCTTAAAAAAAACCTCACTTGATGTATCAACACTGCTAGTTATCATCCTGTATCTCTCCTCCCCACAGTGACTAAACTTGAAAAAGATATCTACACTAGATATCTCTACTTCTTTTCCTCTTATTCTCTTCTAAATCCTTTGTAACCTGGCTTCTGATTCCATCATTCAACTGAAACTCCAAAGTTACCAATGATTTTTAAATTTAAAAAAATTCAGTCACCTCTTCTGGATCCTGTTCCTTCTTGAGCTCTATGTAGCATTTAGCAAGTGAGTATTTGTATAGCAATTTAAGTTTTACAAAGCACTTTACAAATATCATTTCATTTTATCCTCAAAAACAAAAAAACCACCTGGGATGTAGGTGCCGCTATCATCCCCCTTTTATAGATGAGAAAACAGGGATAAATAGAAGTTGAGTGGTTTGCCCAGAATCATACAGTGACAGGATTTGAGCTCAGCTCTTCCTCACTCCATGTCTAGAAATCTATCCACTGGGCTACCAAGCTGCTTAGCATTTGATATTGTTGATTACCTTCTCCTTCTGCATATGCTCTTCTCACAAAGCTTTTGTGATGCTGCATTCCTGGATCTTTTCCTATCTGTCCAAACTGTTCTTTCTCAATTTCTTTTGATGCTTTTTCATCAACTGGTCTCTTTACTTCAAATCTCTTCCCAATTGAATACATCCTCCTCTAAGTAGCCAAGGTGATTTTTCTGAAGTTTAGGTCTCATCATGTGACCCTATGCTAAAGAACTAAACAATGGTTGTCTACTACCTCCAAGAGGAAACATAAGCTTCTCTGTTCAGCACTTAAAGTTGTTTACAACCTGGCCTCTTCCTACCTTTCTAGTCTTCTTACAACTTTCCTCCACAGGAGTGTATGGGGTGTCCAAGGAAGACTAGCATCTCTGGTATGAGGGCTTGCTGAGCCCTTTTCAAGGTTTCTCATCCACCTTTGGTGTCCACCTTCACTCAACTCTTACAGCATGTAGAATGGTCATGCCCAGGAAAAACTGTCTCGCCAGATGGGCTAAACCAAGTTGATGGTAACCAACAGACCTCAAACCCATTTAGTGAGTTAGAAGGATGTCTACCACCAAGCATATGAAGATTTTCCTTTGGAGAAATGGGCTGATAAGAAAAATTGTTTAATGGTCATGAAGGGAGCTGAAGCAGGCACTGGTGGAGCACTTAGAGCTTGGTCATACATTGAAGATGGCAAGATCATCCACTGCATCCCAGGCCACTGGATCATTATCATCATAATCACCTTAACTTTTGTTATGGCGATGACTCACTTAACTCCAATTCATGTGCAAGTCAAGACATCACTCTATGATATAACTGGTCCTCTTCGAAATGAAACAAAAATAACACAACTATCCTCCACACATTCTGTTCCAGCAATACAAGCTACATCTTGTGCCTGGAATGGCCTGCCCCATCACTTCTGCCTTTTAGATTCCTTGAGTCCCTTCAAGATTCAATTCATGTTCCTTTTTCTGCAGAAAAGCCTTCCCCTCTCAGAGTGCCTTCTATCAACTCAATATCTTGTATCTACCTACTTGTTTACATGCCTTTTCTTTCATTAGAATGTATGCTCCTTGAGAGCAGGGACTATCTTTTTGTCTTTCTTGGTATCGTGAGTTTTTAGTTCAGTGGCTGACACATAAGTACTTAATATTTTAAGAGCTTGTTGACTTAATTTGACTTGACTTGACCTAGAAGAATAATAGCTTCCTACTTTATCCAATAAGCAAAGCAAATGCTACTTTTCTAGTGGAAACTTTAGTTTATTTTTCTCAGTATCTTTTAGCTTGTGATACTGAGGTCAGGATGAAAACAAGTCATAGATTGTTGGAATTTTTCATTTATTTTTGCTATATTAGGTGATTAGGTTCATGGGATTCAACAATGATCTAAAAACTGGAGGGAGAGGGATCTAAGGACAGAAGGAAAAACAGATAGTCCTTTATTAAGAAAAGTAGTCTGATGCAATAGATATCACACTAGGCTAAAGATCAGAAAACCTAGGTACTATTCTTGGCTTTAGCTATTAGGCTGCAACCTAGACAAAACCACAACATCACTGAGCCTCAGTTTCTATAACTAGAAAACAGGAATAATAAAAGCCTTTCTAATTTTTTTATTTTGCTCACTTATTGTGAAAACTAAATATAGGTGTGTTCTATAAATATTTATATAAATTAAGATTTCATATTTAGGAAGCAAACAAGTGGTTAAATAGATGGTGTCTGGGAACATGATTTGATTTCCTGGAGTGTAGGAAATCTAGGCCAAGGTCAGACTTAGGCTGTGGCTGAAAATATAGGAATAATGATGACCTCTTTGCCAGGTATACATTATACCTAATGAGGACTGGTAAAAATACATTTGCTTCTTGTCTTTAAGCTGAAAAGAATGATGGATGAGAAACCTATTCATATGTATTATGAGGCTACTAACTGGCCCAGTGGACAGAGTAGTGGACCTGGAGTCAGGAAGATTTAAGTTCAAGTCTAGCTTGACTTTAGACATTTACAGCTAGTGATTTTGTGGGAAAGTCAGTTTCCTCATCAGTAAAATGAAGAAAATAATAGCATGTACCTCCCAGGGTTTTTGTGAGGGTAAAATGAGATTATTTTTATAATATAATTTACAAACTTTTAAGTGCTATACAAATATTATCTATTATTATTATTTTATGGTTATGATGTATCTATTTGTCAGGACATATGCCATAGAAAATATCAGACATAAGTGAACCAGTAATTCGGAAAAGATTATATTTTTAAAATGGCCATCAATAAAACCCATAGTCTCAGATATATATTAAAAAAGATTGAAGTATGGATAATAAGCAAGGTGAAGTAGAAATCCTAATGCAAAGGAATGAAACCAGCCTTTCCTAAGTTTTCACTCAAATTTGAAGGAGCATGGAAAAAACATGGAACTCTTGACTATAATGTGGTGGCTATGAGAAAGCGAATTTAAAAGGAACACTAAACATAAAAGAGATGGCAGAGTAGCATTGATTATTAATCAAATGTATTCATGGGTAGAAGACCAGGAACCAAATGAAGAAGCATCATGGAGAACATTTGAATGAGAATTGTTGCAAGGAGAACAAAAGGATATTATCATAGAAGCATACAACACACTACCAGGGCAAAAGAATTATCTATAGTTCATGAAACAGATGACAAAACTAGCATGAAGACAAGTTACAGTAACAAGAACTTCAATTATCTGGATATTTTCTGGATCTCTGTGTATCTTTGTATATGTCTGTGTCTTACTGTCTGTCTTTTTCTCTCTGTCCCTTACTTTCTCTCTGCCAAAAACAAATGAGTTAATATATTGTTTACTTGCTTTAGTGATAATTTCATTTGTGAAACTAAGAAAACAAAGGTGAATTATTCTTCTGGATCTGATTCTAATAAGGAAGAATAGATTTCTAGGGTAGAAAAAATGGAAATCTATCTTCAAATTCATGAGCAGGAAGAACACAGGGAGAAAATCTGTCATGAATGCTAGATTTAAGGAGAAAGGTTTTCAAAAGTCTCCGAGAAAGAATAGGAGCCTATGACTTAAAATTTTA